AAACAAAATCCCAGGAAATAAATGTTTTGGTCCAAGCAAAACTGTGCATTATTGATATCCATTCTATGAACAAATGTGTATATAATCAAACGGAAAACGAATATGACAGATTTTCTGAATGAATGATTTCCCATAATATCGTATAATCTGTTTCATAGAGATGTTTTGATCGCAAATGCTTCTGGCATCGTTTTACAGAAACAAACTAGTAATTGAAACAGATTGAATGCACGATAAAAAATATATCGTTTCACGTGTAAAAATAATGTTTCAGAGAATCACGACCAGTCAAGTGACACAGCTAGACTGAAGTGGTCATACATCAACGTTTGATAGAATACACAGAAGAAAAAAAATATCGGCAATTTAAAAAAAGAATTCCCCTTAAATTCATGATTAATCGAGTTCCCCAGACAGTGAAATAGTTCTAGATCAAGGTTCCAATTTGGAGCCGAATATCTCATAGCTATTTTCTTGCTAAATAACAAAAATTAGGAGAGCAAGTCACTCGTAATGAAGTATCCGTCACAATAGAAAGTCAGTCCAAAACATGAATAATGTCCGTCGGACAATAAAGCACAGACCAGTTCTCATGCATCAGGTGGTTGTTCGCTGTGAAAACTAAAAACGACTAGTTTATTAGACTTGATACACAATAAAAATGACCAGCTAGGATTTTATTTCCCACTCCCGCATTATCAAACATATTGGACACGCATCCATTACTTGTTTTTATTTTAGCGGGATTAGTTTGTCGGAAGCTGGTGTCCAGAAAGGACAATTTGCTTCCTATACTAGCTTACACTGGAGTACGATAAAGGATCGATGGCTCCTCTCCTTGTCAGATCACGGCGGAGTGGTACAAATGTCTTCGCGTCAACTTTCACACTTAACTGTCAAACAATGCTAATTCAATTAAACCCTAGTGAACTCCTAGACATTACAGCTTTATGTAGAACCAGACAAATATTATTTTTGAGGAAATTGAAAATTCATGAATATATTGAACTAATCCAGGGGTTTACACAGGCTGATTTTAGGACTGATAATGAGTCAAATCTGCTCTAAAACATGTTTATGTTTTCCTGTCTTTAATAACAATATCGAATATATTTTTGTTATAAAAAACTGAAATAATATCGTGAATATGTAATGTATAAAACAACTATAATTCTAAAACACAGTATGTGGGAGTGTTCTCAACATTAATCAGCTTAAGAAGATAAGGTAGAATACTGTATTTAACTTGCCTTGTATTCTACTGGCTTATCTTGAGAAGCTGGTAAATGTTGAGGACACTCCAACCTTCTATGTTTTTATTTTACTATACAGTCGACACCCTGCATACCAATTGCTATCCATTTTCCAGCAAGCACACAACCTAAGGTCCCTACCTACATTGGACCAGCAATGGCTCTTCTCCCCTTTGTCGAATTATAAATCTATATCTTTTTCAGTTTTTTGACATTCTCTTATTTTAGCACAACAGAAAAACTATTTTAGCACAACAGAAAAACTATACATAAGATGTTTATCAAATGAAACCGCAAATATAATTCCTAAAAAACACCTTAAAGGGGTAGCTGATTCAGAAAGTTAGATTAATCCATGTTGTCAAGAAATCTGTGGTGCTACAAAACTTGCTGTACATGTTTATTTCTGGAGAAGATCACCATGGTGACACAACGCTAATTAAACAACAGTGATAAGAATTTCCCCACACACTGGTCACATTTAAGGATAATTACTAAAACTTATAGAGGCATAAAAGGAGTCAGCAATTGGCTTTGCAGTAGACAGTTTGGCTACTGAACAAAAGGTTGAAGTCAAACTCGTAGCACAAGATCTAGAGGTGTTAGTTGTGCATTTGAACAAGAAATGTTACTCTGATAGTTCCAGTGTATACAGCTATACAAATGAATACTAAATTTCTTTTAAAATCCTTTTTTTCTGATAGCTCAGCTGCCTTGCTGTGCAATTGGAAAAATGTTTTCTGAAAACATTAGCACTGTTCCAGTCTACCTAGCTGTACAAATAGGTATAACCAGCATGGTGGAAAGTAAGTAATCCTGTGAATGACAGGTGTTCTTTCAGGGAAGTATACTCTTAGCCTTCAAACTCCACAATACAAGCATTAGCAAATTGTTTTGCTGAATTACAAATACAGATGTGAATTGCCTTACAGTGTTTGTTTTGAAAAGGAAATACTCTATAAAAACAAGCAGTGAAATGTACATCTACATATGATGCAGTTTCACTGTGCAAAATTACAAAAATATCCCAACAAACAATTAAGGAGGAGTTGCAAGGATTATGATCACGGACAGATGGACAGACAGGATGATTATACCCCCTCCCCCCCCCCNCTTCAAGTACCTAAGTTTCAATGAAATCGAAGCATTACTTTAGGAGAAGTGACCAAGACAGACTTGTAGCTAGGCCAAGAGACAACAATCAAAACCTTTGATTTTGACAACAGATGGTGTCAGTTTTTAATCGACTGATAACTCATTTTTACACAGAGTTGGTAGCTCAACCACACATAATGTCTTAATCAGGACATATTGATGACTCTCACAAAACCCAACCACAGAAATATTTTATATATATTAAAACCTGTCTAAACTGAACACCACAGGTACCTTTATATATTAAAACCTGCCTAAACTGAACACCACAGGGACCCATATTTCCTGTCAAAATAGACAGGTTTTCAGATAATGCAGCTTAAATGTATATAAATGGAAATGTTAACAGTAAAACATGAGTATGACAAAAGAGGTTTGGTTATAGAGACAAGATTTGCTTTTGTTGTGAATACTATGATGTTATATTGTTACATGTAAACTGTTGCTATATGACCTATCGTGGTATAGGTATACGTATCATCAAATGATAATGAAAGACGTCACAGACTCCTGAGTAATCACCGGTATCTTAAATGAAGTCACAATGGAGACAAATATGAAGCCAAAATGGTGAAAAACAAGACTTCAAGAATGACCTGGATAAATGCACTTTTTTGCAGTAAAAATTCTTGATCAAGCAATACGAAGGATCCCTAATGTGTTTTTCCATTTCATAAGAAACTTATGAAACTTGTCACAATTTTTCATTTTAACTACCCTGTACCTACTTCAATGATTTTTTTTGTACAGAGTTTGATGATTAAAACCCTGCTCTTTGTTAGGATATGCAAGAATTCCCAATAAGTATGTTTGTAACAGACAAGCTATACTGTGTACGGTCTGTCTGACCTAGAACACATGTGTCAACATTGTGGAGGGTTTGTTTTAGACAATTTCCACGAAATACTAATACACTGTACAATAGTGGTCATAAATGCATTGTATATCTTTACATTTCTATTTTATTCTAATTTACAAGATTTTGGTTTCCACAAGTTCAATTGTAAAATATATATCTGGTACATTTTTTTCTTTTGTTTTCTTTGTTTTAAAACATTAAGAAATTTACAAAAGAAAACATGGGATAACGTTTCCCTAAATAAAAATATAATACCAATTCCGTAATTTATGAACATCTTTGAAGGATCTACCACAAGTTGACCTCTGTGAACCTTCGAAGGCACCCAATAACATCCCAACGATCAAAGACTCGCTAATTGAATATAGGAATATTAAATTACAAGTAATTTCTTTCACATGAACATAACTTCCTAAAATATTGTTTTACGGATGCTGTCCATTTCTGTCCATACATCAAATAGAAAAATATCAGTGAGAATCTTGCCATATTGGTGATAGAGGCATCCTAAGCTCGTCCTTAATGAGGTCATAGAGAGCACTCGGATACAAAGGAATGTAAATTATGCAAGGATGTAGAGAATGCTTGATTAGTGTCTTAAAATTCAAGACGTATTTATTTATAAATTCAGATAGGAGCTGGCTATAGTCTGAACCTAAGTAAACCTGGTATGTTACCCAGCTTAATTACCCTGTTGTTTTATCAGATACAATAATCCTAAATTTTGACGAAGACAACAGAAACTTTCCCATATGCATCCAATTCATTGACAATAGCACTGAAGTTTATGCTTGACCTGCACCCATAATGACCTTTTGAACAATTTGCAACCTTGTCTAAATTATTAAGCAATGGCATTTTTTCTGTGTGTCTTACAGAATTAGGTTAACATCTTGCAACTGGTCTTGATTTTTATTTTATTTCACAGTTACACATAGACATTGTCAGGGGCGTAGCTACCCATTGTTCGGAGTGGATTCAGTGGGGAGCGGGTCCTGGGGGCAGGGCCTTAGTAGGTGGAACAAAGAATTGCAACAAGCAGTGTTTTTATTTTGTTGTATGTTTTTCTGTTTGAAAATTTGGTGGATTTACCTGTGTTCCAGCATATATGCAGCTACATGCCTGATTGCATACCGAATAATATTATTTAATTTTACCACAGATTATAACATGTTATCACAACTGATAACGCTCTGATGTGCAACCAGACATAACGTTAACACTCTATACTTGACAAACAAGAAAGCCACAAAGGTACAACAACAAAAAATCTAAGTCATGATCTGCATAAGTCTTGTTTTGTTATGACAATCCAATGTCATTCTGGACTCAACTGTTGACAATTATTATAAGACACTGTCAAGTTGACATAGGGTTTCCCTGATGCCTACGTATACCAACACATTACCATTCAAATGCTGTTAAAGGCTCTAGGCTGAACGAGGCTCAGGTTCCCAACTGAAGCCAATTTCACGAAATAAGATTCATTATAACCATTTAAACAGTTAACATTATACTGGTACAATTTCATGCTGTATTAATCAAATGTTATACAATCTGTGAAGAAAATGGGGATTTACAATATAGTTTTTACTCCACCTTTATCAGAATGGCTGCAGATGTGTGGAGATATCGATGCTTATAGTTTTAATGGGTTGATGACGCAGCCCATGTACAATATTCTGCAGTCCCTTGTTACATTACGAGACACCTCCAGCATGGTTGTAACTTACCTGTGCATATTCCTTTTCTATGATAGATCGTTGTCTTGCAAAATTTCTGAAAATAAACAAAAAAAACATATATTTGTAATTGCAGTAATGGATTATTTTACGATAACTTGATATTTTGTTGATAAGAAGAAACTTGTCTTATCAAATGAAAATAGATGTAGTTTATCACGATATAAAATAGACGCGTCATATTTTGACGTTGTACTTTTATATCTACTATACAGAAGGGATCGAGCCACCTGGTCCGAGAATTGTATTAGATTGTCTTATCATATTGAATACATCAATAAGTTTATCCCGATATTTTACGTATGTCATATATATGACCTTGTACTTTTAACTCTTTCACCCCTGAAATTTCATAATGAACTATTCCAACCGTTGAATTGGAAGAGTTCAGATGTGTCTTCAGGTGTGAATGTGTTGATATTGAATAGACACTGCACACAGTCACCTGCATGGGCACAGTAGTTCAAAGCTCCGTAAGCTAACAAAATCATTGGTTTAAATCATTTAACTTGTACACCCCTGAGAACACATCTGAACTCTTCCAATTCAAAAGTTGGAATAGTTCATTATGAACTTTCAGGAGTGATTGAGTTAATACTATTATTCCTTGCAATCTATTCAACTCTTTATAATGATTTTTTTTTCAGTTTTTTACTTTCAAAAATGATTTCTAAATCCCTTATACAAAAGTTTAATTATAGATTATAATATAATTAAAGGTGTTCTAACGTAAACTTTAAAATTAACTCATTCACCCCTTAAATTTCAACCTTTGAATTGGAAGAGTTCAAATGTGCCTACAGGGGTGAATGATCATGAGTTAATGCCTACTAAAGCTTATATTATCATGCTTTGAACAGCTGGGTCCTGATTTGTCTGAGAATTGTACATTATATAATTATTACAACAACAAAGGAGTTGAACCATTGGCTTATTATAAATCAAATATAATAAGTAAATGATTACGTAACAAGCTCATGCTCAGTAATTGAATATTTTTATAAGCTCTTCCAACATGGTATTTTAACACAAGTGAGGAAGGAAGACAATATTATGACATGTACGCTGCCCAGACCTCAAACTTATGACCTAAGTGAGGAAGAAAGACAATATTATGACAAGATTATGACGTGTATGCTGCCCAGACCTCAAACTCATGACCTAAGTGAGGAAGGAAGACAATATTATGACTTGTACGCTGCCCAGACCTCAAACTCATGACCTATGCCACCAAATCACCTAGCCTAGAAATTGATAGGTATTATTCAGTACTTCGACACGCTATATATGCATATATGCATATACAGCATCAAAGTATAGAATTCTGAAAAAATTTAGGATGTGTGTACAACATCAATTTGTTCAAACTGAATCAATTGGTACTGTGACATTTTTAATCTAAAATTTAAATGTAAGGGTAAGAAATGGATATTTTATTTATGTCATTTTGTAGTGGTACTTGAGAATGAATGTTTCAATTCCCTACCCTACCAAGCTTGACCTTCCCTGCCATACAGCGCTGGCTTTATAATCGGAAATATTTAAATTTATGTTCATAACAGGAGTCTTTATTGACAATCTGTGTTTGGTAGGACCCTTTAAACCATAAATGTACCATAAATAGGCCATTTTAACAGCAATGACATGCATCTCAATTATGATTAAGTCCCGATGAAAATTTCCCCTGCACAAACAGTTTGTATTATAAATTCAAAACCAGTTATTAAATTTCAAGTTAACCTTCAATCGTATGCACGTTGTTCATATTGCAATCTTTGGAGTTTGCACAAAACAAAATCACAGTTGCAACATTTGTACAATATAATATTGTGATTTCAATTGATTTCCCTGGAGTTTGCAGTTGCAAAATATTTGACAGACAATAGTGAATATGCAATTGTGCAATATATTGCTACTTTTATTAAAAAGAAAAATTCCAAAATGTGCAAAGATTTTTTTCTCTGCAAATTGCGCAAAGCACAATGCAGCCATAAAATGATTACAGAATTTTGCCAGAAAGGTATAATCATCGAACATCACATTGATTTTTAACAAAACAAGCCGTTGTGCGTTTAACCATTTTAATGGCATCATTTTTGTTTCCATTACAACAGCACAGTTATTGCCTCAGACATGATAAGGACACTTAAGATGTAGTTGAGATAAACAACTGAGAAACAGTTGAGTGATAGTTTCTTCTTCCCCGAGTTGTAAGACGATAAAGTAGATAGAAAGCAGGATATTTGTTTCCCCAAAAATTTCATCAAAGGGACATAACTGCAGATGCTGCCAGAGCAAAACATTGTATTTTCTTTGAAAATTTTATTCAAGAATACCTGTCCCATTGAAGACAAATTACTAGAGAATTGCCTTCTAATTTTTCGAACATATAGTTACCTCCCCTTAATTTTTCATGCCTTATTATCAGTAGACACTACAGATCTGGTAGCCCAGTAAGTTAGAGCAACTGTTTTGAGATAAGAGATTCCAGGTTCAAATCTTGGTTTGACTACTTTTGAATTTTGCCACTATTGTCTTTTTGGGTTTCTTTTTAAGTCAAATTCTTCTTCGCCATTTTATTATCAGAACACTTTTTTCCCCTGTTGTTTTAGTCTGTTTCTTCATTATTAGTTTCGCATAAAAGCCCTGCAAGGTATGGATCTCTTTTCGGAACTGATGTATTAAAACCATTGTCATTCATGCTGTTCAAAAGGTTTCAAATTCATAATTAGTTTTTGGTGGTACAGGGAACCTGTAAGGGCTTCTGTGATAGACAATGTCCTTATATTATACTAGAAACAAAGTTGAACATAAGTTACCTGTGATGCATGCATCCCAAGAAAAAAACCTTTGACAACAATATTCATGAAATAATACACAAAGAAAAGGACTTTATTGCAGCTTTTCTAATAAATCTGGTTATGACAGGGCAGGATGTTTAGCATGTTTTTATGAAAAGATCCCCGTGATATATATATATATATATATAAGTACAGAGAACAATTTAAAAATGCAGTAGCAAAATAAGTTTTAAAAGAAAATCTTCAAAGCAACTACTGTAATCAGAAGAATCTAGCCACAGTAAGTACACTTCTTAAAATGTTTATGTTCTTCTCAAATTGTTTGCATTTCTAGCTAATAACCTCATTTCACACATAGAGAATTAAAAAAGGTTGAGGCTTCAAATAAATATGAAAATCTGCTCTGCTTGTGAAAAATTTCACTAACAGTGCAAGAAAACTTGTACGAAATCACAGCCGTCCATTAGGCTAAGCTCAACCTGCAGGCTAGAAAACCGAGTCGTAACAATGTCCCTATCACTCAGCCCTTGCCAAGTTCAATGCAGTTATCATCAAAATTCTATATCAGAACACTAATGGAATTTACAAGCAAACCCGTTCTGTGGGGACAAGTGAAGCTCTTACTGAACTCACGACCAATGTACCTTATTCTGCAGTTTCTTGAAGACAAAATCTATCAAATAGAAAAAAAATCGCATATTTCCCAAAACAAAAGCCATGTCATCACCAGTTGCATGTACATTGAAAAATTGTATTGCGTAATATGATTTGGACTCCTTTGAAACTGATTCCGCCTAAAACTTGTAAAGCTAGTAACAAATTTACAAGTCACTCGTGACTTAATGTACGGATGGGTAATCATGTTTCATTACGACTGAAATAGGTCTCATCAATGCCCTTTACGCTAGGAGGGATACACTTATTGGTGAATCTGTGTTCGTGACCACGATTCTATGAGAAAGACACGTCCCTACAGAACATGCCTTTATTAGATCTTCTGACAATAAGTTGAGGATGCAGACAGCACTGTAGAGTACTGCAGGGCACATCTGATTATGGGCCCATACTGTCCATTGTTGTAGACAGAGAGATGAGGTCGGAAGTTGATCTTGTCTATGGCAACACTTATTGAACTGTGTCGACAGAGTTGTCAAACAAGCTGTCGAATGTCATACATCCTTGTGATGTACAACTCCAAGGCTTTTCACAGCACAGATGGACCTATTGACAACAACATCTATGAACACAAAATCATATCTGCTATTTAGCCTCCTCCCCAAACATTTTTTTTCCTTTTTCTCACATTTTACGACATAATCAGAAGTTCATTTAAGAAAACTCAGTTATAATGGTATGACACAGATGAAGACCATAGCATTGAGCAGCATAGTGTTTTGCCTGCTTATACATTTGGAAACCAAATTTGATCACCTTTCCAATGAGATTAAGACATTTTTTTTATCCTAAAATTTGATCAAGAAAATCCCAGTATCTAAAATCTGAATGTAAATAGTAATAATTTTACCTTCATCTTCATATTTTCCTTCTTATGGAACAAAACTCCATTTCTAAATTTTCCTAAGAGATGCTTTATAACAAGAGGGAGATTACACACTCTACAGGGAATACTGACTTTAGACTGCGAGATATGCCGTAATATTTTTTGGAACTAAATGAAGATGACAATTCCCAGATGGCCTTAGAAAATCTCAGGTATAAAAAATCAAGGAAAATCCAGTTTCATTATATATTGATCCAGTAGAAAAATATTCTCTCTGGGACGTGCAAAGGGTAGACTCTGACATGGCATAGTCTACTGAAGGGGGACGTACAAAGGGTAGACTCTGACATGGCATAGTCTACTGAGGCCTAGGGGATACTGAAACTACAAAACTTTCAACGACGCATAACATAATTTGTCATAGGGGTACATTACACCAACAGATGTACGGGAAACACATCCCCTGACATGTGGATGCAATTCAAATCAATAACATTTCTACAAAATTTGAATAGTTGCCATGATGTTTCTTTTTGGAATCAATGGTTGACAAACCAAATCCTGTAGGGAGTCTACTGTGACTCTGTTTTATGCTCCTGAACACGTCTTTTTTTTTTTTTTTTTTTTAGGTTCAAATTGTTTTTACGTCTTGGTTCTGTGTCCTTTGCTTTATTGTCCTAATTAAATATCTGCTAATCTACTGGGATATTATAATTAGTGAGGTGGTAATTACCT